GTCTATTTGTCAAGTTTTCTGACTTAGGCATCGGAGAGGTTTCCGGCACACACCCGCCGGCTAGCTCACGTTTGTGTTTTCAGGTGACAAAGCGACGTCGTACGGAGAAGCGTGGACTTGGTCAACAGGATTATACGAGGAGAATTATTTCCTCCCCGTACATATATATATGTAACTTATCATATTTAAAAAACAGTAATAAAATTTATCATACCACATAAAAGCAAAGAATTGTAATAAAATATTTCGAAAGATATATACATCAACCCTCTTTTCGATGGAATATTTTTATGTGAGACTACTATTATGGTTTTAATTAATATATCGATTATTATGAATATGTGCGAGCATCTGTGCAAGTGCTGTTTTATTTATTGAACTTATGTGCAAATGTCATAGGATAGAGCAAGGGTTGTCTGGAGCCAAGGTTCTCTCCTTGCAGTTTTGTACTTGTGCTCGTTCTTACAGGTCTTTGGGTCTATTTTTAACCCTAATTTTAATAATCCGAACCATTCATATTTTATGATTTATTCAATATATCATACCTGTAAAAAATCAAGTTGATCGGATATCAGAAAGCATATGATCGGAAAACTGTTTATTAAATTCTTTAAAAAATAGTTTTTAGTTCAATTTTTCGAACACATACTTTCTGATATCCGATCAACTTGATTTTTTACAGGTATGATATACTGAATAAATCATAAAATATGAACAGTTCGGATTATCAAAATTGGGCCTAAAAGTAGACCCAAAGGCCTGCAAGGACGGGCGCAAGTACAAGAGCTACAAGGAGAGGATCCTCATTCGTAAGGATTCTGCTTGAATTCTCTCTTTGACTTCATACTTGATAGGTTATTGGACTTATTTTTAGGTCCAATTTTGATAATTTAAACCGTTCACATTTTAGGATGTGTAACATATATTATACCTGTCAAAAATCAAGTCGATCGGATATTAAAAATCATGTAAACTAAAATTTTTATTAAATAATAAAATTATTTATTAAATTTTTTTTAATAAACGGTTTTTAATTCTTCCGACATTCGATCAATTTGATTTTTTAGACGCATGATATATATGACAAATTCTAAAATATGAACAGTTTAAATCATTAAAATTAGACCCAAAAAGAAATCCAATAACCCATCAAGTAAAGAGTCAAAGAGAAGATTCAAGTAGAGAATCCTTTCTCCGTGTAGGGTGCGGCACGTAGGGTGTGGTAGGGCTGCCCAGGCACATGATTTACTTTTGAAAACCACACCAATCATTCAATCATTAGGGATAATCAACATTTTAAATATATTTTTTAATGTAATAATTTAATAAAAAATTCAATTTATTCTTCTAAATATAAAAATTAAAATAGCATTGGATTAAAAGCTAAAAAATTAATTTTTTTAAATCATATCATCTTTGAATTTTTTTAAACATTTAAAAAACATAAAAATAAAAAACTAACTTTTAATTTCATTTTCAAAATAAAGCCTGTGTTTGGGAAGGAGAAGTCGGGCTAAAATAGCCACGTCGCGACAAGATTGGCTATTTCAGCCACGTCCCGACAAAATGGCCTTCACGAGTATCCAACAAACCCTTACGCCTGTAAATTGACTCAAATGCCCCGAAGACCCTCTTCATTCATCTCAATCTGTATTCATCAAACAGGCGTCTTGCGCAGCACATACCCTTTCGAGTCGACAAAGACGAAGAGAAGAACCACCGACGCATCGGAGGACAGCTGACCAGGGACCCCCGCAGAGATAATCGCCACCGGAGTACCCATCCGCGGCGGCGAACACGAACCAAGCCTCTCAAACTCAAACCGATCTGATTCAGGTAATGCTTTATGGCCTATTGATTGATGTTTTTCTTCTTCTGATCTGCGTAGTATGGGTTGATAACGGCATCGGTTCATGACCGATCTGTTCATTTCCGGTCGTGAATGGGTTGATTACGCTTACATTACACACATTTGGGGCACCGATCTGTCTCTGTGACAAATCTGGGTTGCAGATCTGTTCTTATGTTCAAACTCTGTCCGATTATCACAAATTTGGGGCTGATTTGTATACATACACATATATATATATATGTATATATATACGTATATATGTATATAAAACACGTATGTTCTTATTCAAATATCTGTTCTTAGTTATGAACACATGATCTGTTGATCACAAACCGTTGTTAATATCCACCTTTCATTGCAAATCTGTTCTTATCAGATATGTTCATAACTCTGTTCTTATAAAATATAAATGTTCTTATTGCTCAATTACCAGGTCTTGCATAACTCTGTTCTGTTCGGTTATCACAAAGTTGGGCCAGATTTGTTTTATTTTTTTTTTGTTCATACTCTGAATTGGTGCTAATAGAAATGCTCAATTCCCATTTGTATGGTTACATATGAATTACATATATTAACAACAAATTACAAAATATATAAAACTTATAGTTCAAATATATTACAAAAATTAGGTTTCTTAACCAACATATTTAAAATATATCTGAAATATATCTGAAAAACTATATTATTAAACATATATGACAAAATTTAATTGTGAAATATATCTGAAAAACTATATTATTCAAAATTTAGGTACACATATATGACACAATTTAATTATGAAAAACTATATTATTAAACATATATGACAAATTTTAATTATTAAAAAACAGTGTACAAATATATTCAAAAATATTTTTAAAATATCATATAAAATATATATAAAATATATTACAAAATAAATTAATATTCAAAAATACTTTGTAACGATCATATAAAATATATTTAAAATATATTACAAAATAGATTTATTAATTTCAATTTATTTTTTTACTCAATACGAATTGCTCAATTCTCATTTCTGCACAATATATTAATTACATAAAAAATTATTTCAAACTAAATTTGGGAAGGAAGGTAGATATATATTATCCATATATATTAACAACAAATTACAAAATATATAAAACTTAACTTTAAGTACAAATATATTACAAAAACTGGGTTATTAAGCAATATATTTAAAATATATCTGAAATATATATTACAAATTTAGATTGCAAACGGAAAGAGTGTCAAAATTTAGGTACACATATATGACCCAATTTAATTATGAAAAAACTATATTATTAAACATATATGACAAAATTTAATTATAAAAAAACAGTGTACAAATATATTCAAAAATATTTTTAAAATATCATATAAAATATATATAAAATATATTACAAAATAGTACTATATTCAAAAAATATTTTGTAACATCATATAAAATATATTTAAAATATATTACAAATAGATTTATAATTTCAATTTTTTTTTTACTCAATACGAATTGCTCAATTCTCATTTCTGCACAATATATTAATTACATAAAAAATATTTCAAACTAAGTTTGGGAAGGAAGGTAGATATATATTATCCATATGTATTAACAACAAATTTTATCGAAAATATATTACAATTATATTACAAATATAATTACAAAATATGGTTTACTAAGAAATATATTACAAAGATATTAAAATATATTAACATATATATGACAACTTTTTATTTCAAAAGTAAAGAGCGTGCAAATTGCATTAAACATATATGACAACATTTAATTATTAAACAATATAGTACAATATATTCAAAAATATTTTTAAAGTATCATACGAAATATATTTTAAATATGTTACACAATAGATTTATTCATTTCAATATATTTTTTACTGAATACGAATTGCTCAATTCTCATTTCTGACAATATATTAGTTGCACAAAAACCATTGTACAATTATCTTAAACAAATTTTCTTCAAAATATGTTCAACATATGTCAGTAAAATTTTCAGTAAACATATATTAATTTAATAAATTATTAGAAAATATATAACCACATATTCACAAATCTAATAAAAAATAAATTTCAAAATATATTACCAAAAATCTAAATTCATGATACACAATACTTTTACAAACAACGTAGTGAGTTCATGGAATAAAATATAAAACTTGCTTTAGTCTTTGTATGTGTTCATGTTGGTTCATGTAAATTTATTTGCAATTTAAAGCGTACCATGGCGTCGTTCACCTCTACTGCAACTTCAGTACATGGCCACGACAAATGTGTGCCTGTGGACATGGCCCCTGTATTGTTAAGATTTTCAGGTCCACCAAAAATCCAGGGCGTCCCTACTTTGTCTGTCCCGCCCTGTGGTGAGTGACCCAATCTTTACGATCATAACTGTATGAACATTACCAAACCCATGAAACTAATAGTTCCGTAATTTCCACTCATCAGCCCTGTGTCAGTTGGATTGGTTGGTGTGAAGAACCAAGGCGAGAGAACCAAGGCTATGCGTCTCCCGGAGATGAAATTGCCATGCAATTGCGGGCTGATGTCATAGACATTCAACAATCCTTGCATGTCCTTAAGACCATTGTGTATGTGCTCTGCATTGTGGTTGTCATTTTCTTGTGCCGTATGTAAGCACCGGTACCATGTTTGGGGGTATGTACAAAGACGTTAGTATGTTGTCAGTATGTTGTTACTATGTACGAAGACGTTAGTATGTTGTCAGTATGTTTTTAGTATGTAGTTAGTACGTTCGTAGTATGTTGGTAGTATGTTCTCGCATACTAGAGCCATAATACTAACTATCATATTTTTTGTGGCCACTACTAACTTCCATGGAACCTGTTTACGTACGTTAGTAATTTCAATGGGTATATGCAAATTTAACTTTAGCATCATATATGTCTGTTTGTTGTTAATAATGTGTCATGGCTTATGCATGTGTATGTAACAACCAAATTTGTGATGGTAATCTTTTGTAACCGTACATTAGTAATGGCTTCCACACGTACTTCGCCGCGTAACCACTCGAAAAGCAAAGGCATTCTCAGTGACAAGTCAAGCAGCCTTGAAGAGACACAAAATCAGTTAAGCCACAAGGCCTCATGGGACAGTAACTCAGTCCGAGTTTTCCTCCAGTTGATCGCAAATGAGATTTAGTAAAGGAAATCGCCCATTTTTAGTCCTCAGCCAGGCAGGGTACAAGTCGTTGTCAAGGAAATTTGAGAGAAAAACTGGAAAAAAACATGGACTAAAACAGTTGAAGAATAAGTACATAAGCTTGAAAAAAGAGTGGCAGGCGTGGACAAAGTTGATGGATTCAAGTAAGGGACTGTCCGGGATAGGCTTTGACTATGACACCGGTTTGTTTCAGGCACCTAACGAGTGGTGGGACAAGATGGAATCAGTAAGTAATGTACAAACAGTTTCATATCTGTCATTTACAAGTACATTTTTTAGTTCTTCATTTAACTGCAATAAAATTTATTTATATGAATATAACGTCTGCCTTTTTATACATCTACATTTCTGCAGATCAACAAGGTGTGTGCGAAGTTCAGGAAAAAAACTTTGGAACACCGTGACTTGATGGAGACGGTTTTCATGGGGGCATCAGCTACTGGGAAGCACCATTGGACCCCGGGAGAGATCCTCCCTGAAGCTGATGAGCCTCATCTGATTCAGTGCGTAGTTTGGGAGCGCAGCCATTTGCTGATCCGATACCCGCAGGAGTACAGGGCGTGAATTCCGATTCTTCACTCGAGCATGTTCCGATTGAAAAGCCAAAAAGGAGAAGACGCCATCAACAAGTGTTTCAAAGTCGAAGAAGGCAACAAGTGGTGCGTCCGTTATTGCGGAAAGCATGGACAGAATGACAGATGTGGTTCGTTCGAAGAATCAGCAGGTCACGGTTAGGCACCTCACAGGCAACGAATCGCTGTACACTATTTTCGAGTGCATGCATAAGCTGAGCAGTATTCCACCATGATTTGTACGCCATATTATTCCACTTCGCCTCCACACTTATGGATAACGCCGATTACCGGGAGATCATGATGTGCCAGCCTGATGACGACCACATCATTGGTTGGCTTACACAGAAACAGCTCCAGTGTACTGCGTCGGGGCCTTTTGCAAACCTGTTTGGGGGTCGCCGGATGTGATGTAGCGGTGTTACGAGTGTTTAAGATACATCTCCTTGTCTTCCTTTTTAAAATGTTGACTTATGGTATGTTGGCAATGTACTAAAACAGGATGGTGCTGTGTGAATGTTTTCATTATGTCGTTTTTGTTTTTTTCTTGCTAGCTACGGGCAGCAACAGGTTTTAGGTAAGTGTATGGGTTAACGGACCAGAAGCATGGTTGTGCTTCGTTTTTGGGAATGAATGGGATATTTGTGTTTTAATATTTTGTGTGCCTACGTTTGAGACAGGGAATTAGTTTTACTTGCACGCTTGTGAATGCCTATATGTCTGAAGTTCATTTGTTAGTGTAGTTTGCTGGCTACTTTTGTGGTTGTTACCACCAATGACCCCCGTAAAGCATAAGTTGAACATCTTGATTTTTTGTGCAATTCATATGAGCATGCGTTCCATATGACATTTGTGACAGCATTGCTTTTAATAAAAGACATTCTCGGAATTTTTTAATTACAAACTTCAATATAATTTAAGTCAGTGATTCACGTGCCAACTGAATGAAAGGCTGGCCC